AAGAGGTTAGAGAAACTCAACCCGTGTTTGAACCCCCCCAGATTTTAGAAGATATCCATCTTTCAAATTCTAGAGACACAGATGATGACAATCGTCCCATTCAATGACTGCTGAAGAAAAGAGAGGTGCCCTTCTCAGATAAGGGAAAAGAAAAGGTTGTTGAGGTTGAGTCTAGAAGGAAACCTTTTACAAGATATGACAACAATAAAATGATGGTTGATGATATGAAGGCGAGTGCAGAATCTACTGCTAACAATCGAAGGAACAAAACTTTTAACGTGTCAAGATTCCAAATACCGTTGTCCGATTTGGTGGAGGTATCAGGTGCGGAATCTTAAGAGGGACCTGATAAGGAAATTATTGATGACTTGAAACAAAATTTAAAGAATAAAGGTGATAGAATGAAATCCAAAGAAGCAACTAAAGCTTCGACAAGCATAAAAGCTGATGGTTCTAAGGGAAAAGGAAAAAGAAAGAGAGATTCTGAAGTGGAATCTGAAGAGTCTGAACAGGGACCTGGTCAACAGGTATATGTGCATGATACAACTGTCAACAAGCAAACAATAGTTGGCAATCTGAGTGTACAAAGTGTCTTGGCAGGTGGGGTTTTTGATATGAATATTGTTAAGCAACCTGGGATGGAAACTTTACATGCCATTTTGGTGATTCATTCATGGATACACTTATTTGACACCAAGTCTCCTATTCTCGATGAGGAAGAAGTACGTGAGTTCTACTACAAAATCGATGAGGAAGAAGTACGTGAGTTCTACTACACAATCCAGCTTTTGCAACTTGAAAAGGCGTCTCAAGAATTCTTGCTAAGGCTGAGAAAATTGTAGAGAATAGATAATTTAAAGAACAAATCAAGCTAAGGTGTTGAAAGTGTAGAAGTCTTAGAAGTATTTCTTCCAATCTGAAATTGTAATCTGGTCCTAATTTTTAAAGGATTCAGTTTGTTCCGATCAGTGAATTCTAGATTACTTAAGTTCAACTAATTTAGTGGGCAACCTGTGTATTGCTTAAAAAAGTCTAAATCGTCAGTAGGTTGGTGATTTACTAGACAACCTGTGTGTTGCTTAGTAAAATCCTAAGTTGTGTAGTGGTGATAACTTAGTGGGCAGAGTTATATCTGCTTAGGCTCACTAAGCGATAGATTTATTGGTTGATAGTGAGATTAATAACTTTTTATCACTCTTTTGTAATCGATTTACTTTTACTTGTGAAGGTTAGTGAAACGGTTGAAAAATCCTGTGTGACAGGTCGTGGTTTTACTCCCTTGAGGAAGGAGGTTTCCACGTAAACTGACTATGTTGATAATCTGCATTTAGTTACAGTAATTCTTATTTTAGTGTGTCAAGGGACCTGGTCCATTGATTTGTAGTGGAAGTACAGATTCTAACAAACAGAAGGGAGGGAATAGAGATAGAGCTTCCTTCTTGCCTTTCACATTTCAGGAAAGCTTATTTGAGCAGAGAATTATGGCTTCCCTCTTCACAATGAGGGCTATGGTGTGGAATTGTCGAGTCCCGGTAGGATCCTTGACACTTTCCTTTTTGAAGGAGACAATGCGTCTTCATTCTCCAAGTATGATTTTCTTAAGTGAAATAGAAAAGTAGAGAAAGCATGGTTAAGAGTGTACAAAGACAAGTAAATATGGTGCACGTTGTAACTGTGGAGCCGAGTGTTAATAGGAGGTCTAACTTTATTTTGGAATGAAACTATCCGGTTATGTGAATCACATTCTTCTCCTTTTATATCGCAACTTTGATTCAAGATGGCTCAGCTGATTGCAAATATTGGTGTTTATTTGTGTATGTAAGTACAAATAGAGTCACTTGTAGAAATCATATGCAAGAATTAGTTAAAGAATGCATAGAGACTTGTTTCCAACTCCCTGATGGTCTGTGTAAGGAAATTACATCCCCTTTTTCAAAAAAATTCTGAAGACAAACAAAGGAGAAAAAATGATGCATTTTGAGAAATGGGATAGATCAATTATGTGATTCTAAATCAATTTAGAAATCTAAAAACTTTTAATATGGCTCTATTAGCTAACCAAGCTTGGCGACTTCTATTGCAACCAGATTTTTTAATAGCAAGAATTCTTAAAGAAAATATTTTCCAAATTCAACCTTTCTTAATATCATCTTCAGGTTCTTGGATATGGAAGAGTACTTTGTAGAGAGATCTTTTGACTAAAGGATTAAGATGGAGGATTTCTGATGGAAAAAATATTAATGTTTGGATTGACCCTTGTATACCAAATAATAATGGCTTCATCCCTAAGAGTATCCATGGGTAAACAAAAAAAGGAAACTATGAAGTTAAGTCAGGTTACTACATTGCAAAGTGTTTGATCGGTAACACATTGAAAAACTCAAAAGCTCAAGTGAGTTGTCATTCTTTTCGAAAATGCTTTTTGGACTTATCGTGGAAGTTGAGAGTTAAAAATAAGCTTAAAAACTTTTTGAGAAAATGTTCCCGTATTAAGCATAATTATTTTATCTTATAATAAGTTAGTGTTATAGTTATTGCCTTTTAGTATCTGTAGAAAAATCCTCCTATTATAGTAGTTTATTGTTGTTTAATATTTGTAGAAGAGTCCTACAATGGTTTCGGAGTTTATGTAGCAATTAGCTAATTCTTTAAGTTTAGCTATAGGTTGTTGTTATTGGTTGTATTTAACGCTCGCTTCAATGCGGAAATAATAAAATCATCTTTCTACTACTTTTGTCTATCTGATTTTTATAGTATCAGAGCCACCAGCCTTTTACGAGTTAGATCCTTTCTTTTTTTTTCTCATCTGAGAACAACCCATCCTGTTATTATTACCACTGGTGATGCTATTACCACCAACATCAGTACTTCGACTGCTTCACCTATAATTCACGTTGTACAAAATCAATCCCGTGTTTCAGTTAACTATCAAACTAAAAGGTAACCTCATCTTCTCAACTTGGAAAGTAAAACTTGTGAAGCTACTCATGGGACATCAACTCATGGGACATCTTAAGGGTCAAACCCGGCACCACCAATGACTGTCACGCGAGATAACCTTACAATTCAAGAACCCAGATACTAAATCTGGTTCTCTCAGGACCAACTGATCTAACAATTTATGATGACATCTGTCGATCCCACCATTGCGCCGACTGTTTCCACAACTCCATCTTCTAAGACAGCCTGGTAACTCCTTCACATGGATTACGAAAATAAGAGCCACACTGGCATTTTTAGCTTGCGCGACCAACTGCAAAATATTAAGAAGTCTTTAAATCGGTTACAGAATACTTATAAGACGTTCAATCTGTTTCTGATGCTCTCAATTTTCTGGTTCAGCTGTACAATATGACTAACTTATTGTGATGAAATATAAGAAGCTTGAGCCCTAAGTACCGGGAGATCTCTGCTTCCATAAGAGCACGTGAATCTTCCTTGCGTTTTGAAGAATTGTTTCCTCAAGGTCCAAGACCTTGAGAAGTAATATTCCAATATCACAGTTGCAGTAACACAGAGGAGAAACATGCCAGTCCAGTCTAACAGGAACAATCGTCGCTTTAACAATCAACAATGGAACCAATCTGCGTCTCGGCAATCCAACTTCAACAATCAACAATGGTACCAATCTGCGTCTTGACTGTCCAACTCCAACAATCAGCAAAATATGAGATCAAATTCGAGAAAATTGGTTTGATGCATATTATGCCAAAAATTTGGTCATACTGAAGATGTATGTCGTTCCAGATTGCACAATCATTTTGAAGCTAAGGCTAACTTTGCCTCTAATTTGCAGTCAACGGACAACTCTTGGGTTCTTGATTCCGGTGCGACTCATCATGTCACGGTTGAACCTCATAATCTTGAAGAGTATACAGGCAATGAGGGAATATCTATGGGTAACGGTAAAATAATTCCTATTACTCATACTGGTTTATCTCAAATACAAGCACCTAATTAATTTTAAAAAAACCTTGTTTATGTAGCCAACTTTTATCAAGACAATCTCACATCTGTTGAAATTTTTTCCTTTTACTTTTCTTGTGAAGGACCTGCATACTCAGAAGCCGCTGGTACAAGACTGGAATAAGAATGGACTCTATGAATGGACCGCATCCATCAATCTTGCCTCCACAAAGGTTTCTTTTCAACTATGGCATAGTCACTTGGGTCATCCTCATTTGACGATTTTAAACTTTGTTTTGAAAAAAAATTGCTTTACCTGCTACTACTACAGATGAATTTGAATTTTGTAATGCTTGTTAATCAAATAAAGCACATCGTTTGTCATTTGACTGACTCACTTTATCCAGTAATATACCTCTTCAGGTCATTTTTAGAAATTTATGGGGACCACCCCCTTTTTTATCACTAGACAAAAACTTATATTATTGTATCTTTGTTGATCAATACACCAAGTATACTTGGTTTTATACACTTAAAAATAAAAGTGAAGTCGCCTCTTTGTTCCAAACATTTCTTCCTTTAGTACATAATTTTTTCAAAACAAAAATTAAATCTTTTTATTTTGATGAAGGGGGTGAATACAAGTGTGTTCAATCCTATCTTCAACAAAATGGCATTGAACATTTAGTTTCACCTCCATACACGCCACAACGTGTTGCCATAACTGAACGTCGTTATCGTCATATTGTTGAGAAAACCAAAACACTACTCCATGAGGCATCCTTACCACTAGACCTATGGTCTTTTTCCTTATATCATTAATCGGCTAACCACTCCCATCTTACATAACGCGTCATCCTTCCGACAATTATTTGGTAAACCATCCAACTATGCCAATCTCAAAATTTTTGGTTTTCTCTTTTATCCATGGCTTAAACCCTATAACAAAAATAAGTTAGAGCCTCAGTCCACCCCTTGTGTGTATTTAGGTGTTTCACCAAGCCATCATGCATACCTTTGCTTTTACCCAGTGCGGTCAAAAATATTAATAAGTCGTGATGTTATCTTTTATGAGTTTTTTTCCTTTTTAAACGATGTTTCTACAGATAAGGAAAAACTTTTCTCAACTGACCTGGGAAGACGTTAATTCCAAGGAGGAAACTCTGAAGACCGTTCTCATTCCAACTCCCTCTCATGATATACCACCACCCATAATATTGTCCTTAGAATCCTCTTTACCTAGATCACCAGTACATGGTCCTCGCTCCTTCAATTCTGGTCAGGTACCAGCAGCTACTGCAAATGATCTAAGGTAATTCTAAACTTTCTTCTACTTCTTCATACCACAATTGGTTGGTTATTCAACTCGACGTCAATAATGCTTTCCTGCAGGTCCAGTTTACTGAAGAGGTTTATGTCTCATCCTCAAGGATTTGTTAACTCACAATTCCCTTTCCATGTTTGCAGATTAAAAAAGCCATTTATGGACTTAAACAGGCACCGGGGGCTGAATCTGATACATGTTTGTTCATTTTGAAGAATCTTGGTTGATATTGTCTATGGTCTCGTCTATGTTGATGACATTTTGTTGAGGGGAAGTCATCCCGACTTACTTAGACATGTTATTGATTCCTTGGGTACACGTTTTCTTTTGAAGGATCTAGGGTAGTTAAAAAAGTGTCACGTAGTCTTCGTCTCACTTAATCAAAATCCATTCTTGATATTCTGTCTAAACTGGATATGAAAGATTGTAAATGAGTCCTGACACCAATATGCTCTAGTAAACTGCCTCAGGCAACTGATGATTGTAAAGGCTCTAGTAAATACATTCCCACCGCCTGACATGTCTTATGTTGTCAACAAACTATTACGATTTATGCATGAACCAACTGATGAACACTTGAAGGCGGTTAAAAGGATACTACAATATCTCAAATCCACGGCAACATCAGGTCTTCATATTCTTCACAACTCAGACTGCAATTTTTCCATGTACGCTGATGGTGATTGGGCGGGAGACCCGAATGATAGAATATCCACATCAGGCTATGTTCTTTTCATTGGGTGCACTCCTATAAGTTGGTCGTCAAAAAAACAACAAGTTGTAGCTCAATCATCTACTAAAGCAGAATACAAATAAGTTGCAAATGCTCTTGCCGAACTCACATGGATGTGCAACTTGCTCAATGAATTGTGTATCACCATTCTAAATATCCCCTCAATCTTATATGACAATGTTGGTGTCACTTATCTATGTCAGGATCCAGTGTTCCATAGCCGTATGAAACATATTGTTGTGTACGTTTGCTATGTTAGGAACCAAGTTCAAGCACATCGAGTTCTTGTCAAACACACTCATGCTTGTGATCAACTTGCTGATACATTTACCAATACACTACCAGCGCTAGCCTTTGCAAGGTGTCGTTCCAACTTAGGCGTTGTTGACCCACAACTAACTTGAGGGGTTGTATTAACCATAATTATTTTATCTTATACTCCCTCCGCCCGAAATTGTTTGTCATGTTGCGCTTATCGAAAGTAAATTTGACTAATTTTCAAAGGTAAATTAAACCACATTAATTTGATATTTAAAAAAATTAGATATTCTAAAACTATATAAAAAGTACTATAAATTACAATTTTTTGCATATTAATTTGATGAAAAAATTCATCTGGAAATGTTAGTCAAAGTGTTTATAGTTTGACTCCAAAAATAGAAACCATGACAAACAATATCGGACAGAGGGAGTAATAAGTTACTATTATAGTTACTGTCTTTTAGTATCTGTAGAAGACTCCTCCTATTGTAGGAGTTTATTGATGTTGTATATTTGTAGAGGAGTCCTCCAACGACTTAGGAGTTTATGTACCAATTAGCTTCCTTAAATTTAGCTATAGGTTGTTGTTATTGTTGTATTTAACGCTTCTATGCTAAGGAATAAAATCATCTTTGGACTACTTCTGTCTATCAGATTTCTAACCCGCCCATAGTAATTTAGCAAAAAAACTTACACAATGTAGATGAGACTTGTTAGATTTAAGTTCTTGGACCTGGAGATATAGAAATGTCCTCGGTCTCAACTTGTGCGGAGGCAATGTCCTATAAATTGTCCTGATATAGGAAATATTACTCATTTTTTATGTGGTGGTATGACTTGTTCTTAAATACCAAAACATTTCCTGAATCTATTGACTTGTTAAACTTGAGCGCTAGCATTATTTGGCAAATAACTAGTTGTTATTAATCAGGAAAGGTTAGAACCAAGAGATATTGTTTCTGAAACTTAGTTTGAGTATAAAGAATATAAAGAGTTACAGACAAAAAGACTTTCTTCTTGTTCCTCAATAAATCATCTTGTGATTAAACTAACAAATTGCAAGATAGCATTTTATTGTTTACAGATGCTGGATTGTGGCTATAGATAGCGTTGGGAACTTGCTTCATGTCCATGGATTCCCGATTTAATTTGTTGGGGAAGTCATGACTGCTGAAGCAATTGCTATTTAGAAAGCTCTTGAATATTCTATTAGTAAGGGATGAAAGAGAGTGAAGATTTTATAAGATCGTTGAAGGAAAACTCTTAAGAAAAGTTTTAACTATGTATTACGTTATGCAATAATAAGAGGGGTTTTATTTCGGAGAAAAAAAAGCACTAACCCTTTTGAAGACGGATTAGAATAGGGATTAAAAAAGACTTTTAGCAAATAATGATATTTAAAAAGTCTAAGTTGAGTAATTTTATTGATACAAAACAAAATCCAATTACTTTACTCTATATATTCCTAAAATTGAGTGATCTTTTAAAATATCATTTCTCTGAGAGACAAATATTTGAAAGTTAACTTTTTTAAGTATTAAATCTTCATTCGACATATGATTTGATAACTTGAGGCAAAAAAATTACATTTGATTCTATCCAAATAAGTTGGATTGGTTATGAACGTCATGGTTTACTATAAGTAGCTACTAGTGTATAAATTTGTTTTTGACATATTTAAATATTTTGGGAGTTAGTTATGTTTATCTAGATTAACTTCAGATG